ATCCGCGTCCCCCATTGCGCCTCGCTGTCTGTCCGGCCTTGTCGTCCGTCCAGTTCCGCCGTCTGGGTTCGGACGCGGACCGTGCGCGAGCGTCATGTAGCGCTGGGCCGCCCGCGGCCTGAGACATCATCACTAATTCACTGCGCCGTCCAGCCCTCGCCAGCCACGCGCACACCTCTAATTTTCTGAATTACTTTTTGTATATTTAAACGCTCGCCCTTTGTGGGCCCGCTCTACGTACTGCCCCAGAACGATGGCGCGCACAAAAGGCACCGTCCCCTCACTCATCCCCGCAGCGCCGCCCCGCGCCACTACGCACCACATTTTCTCCCGCGGCCGCGCCCATCGCCACGCTTGTGAGTCGGGATGGAACCCGCTTCGGACAGCACGTGCCTCGTCGCGCTCCGAAATATTTTCTTTTTCAATCCTGGCCTTCCAGCTTGGTGCGCGCGAATTGCACAATTACGTTCGGGGCGGTGCCAGCCTCTGCTTTTTTATACCGGTGGCCATACAGTTCTGCATACGGTGAGTTACTCAGTTATGGCGCAATTAAACAGTTTCTTCAGCAAAAATTTCATATAAGCATGTGGTCCAGGCGAAAGAGGAAGAGACAATATTAGACGTAGAGGGAAGATCTTTTTAATTTCATGTGTACTACAAAATACAAAAAAATATTTGAAAGATATATATCCAAACAATGGTGAGACGATAAGATTTATTGGTTCAAGTCAGATCCCTTAGAAATTGATTTTCTTTGTAAAGTCTTCATGGCCAAATAGTAGTCTTGCTTTTCAGGATAACCGCACATTCACTGCAACACTTCATAACCCACAGCACACGTTTCCTGAAATTTTCAAAGATGAAGGTTGCCACGTCTCGCAGAACAGAAGTGCAGTTCTCAAGATGCATTCGATAAAGTTTGCCTTTCAAGAGGTTCTAAGGAATTTGATTTGGGGAATCCTCGCGAGAAATACGGACAGAGACTGCTTAAAGATAACTGGAAGATGTGAGTAAAGTTTGTAACATGGTACTCCACATCAGTACCCTTTCATTTCATTTAAATATTGATATAAATATTGCAGAAAGCAACAAAAAGAGGAAGAAGGAGAATAGTATAGAATATCCTTTAACACTTGCGATTGATCAGATCAACACTTATCAAATAACGATTCGTCTTAACATATCACAAGATAGCGAAAACGTTCAAAATCGTTTAAATAATGGATTTTCATGAGACTTATTATTGGCATAATTGTCGTGAAAATTCTGTTATGCACTGCTTTTGTTATGTTACAATATTCCATGTGTATGGAAAAGATGTGTGTTTCACCAGTACCCGTCAATAACTATTTGCACGTTTTCCAAACATTCCGCTTGATATTTCATTAAATCACATTTTTATTGTTTCTACTAATTACTTTCCGGGCGCTTTCTGTCTTAATACTAACTCTCCCCTGAGATTTATCTGTATTACAAATCAACCACTAGACTAGCATGAAGTCGCCCGAAGCCGTCCTCTCGGCGGCGCTGGCGATATTCTTGAGCGATCTGGGATCACCCGGATCCCATCCAGTTTATCATGCCAGCAGCACGCTCGCTCTCGGACGGCGCCGCGAGGGTAAGAGTGGTTTCAATTGCTCGGCCGACCGGGCCAGGGGGCGTGGTCGGGGGCCGCAGGGATTGTGCGGCGGTGGGCGGATGGGGGTGCCTGGCGTCGGCGCGCGGGCGGCGTGGCGCAAGGCGCGGGCGGGTCAGAGCGCCGGCATCCTTTTTTGCACGGGGCTTTGTCGTTGTGGTTGTACACTGGCACGCCGTCCGTTGGTTGTATCTTTTTTGTTTTTGTTCCGGTACTGACGACTGGCGGTCGGCTGTTGCTTGTTGGCAGTTTGGGTGGTGTGTTCGGGTGGTTTGTAGTGAGGCCAGCAGGGCCGGGGGTATAGCCAGAGGATGGGGTGGCAGACGGGGGGCAGAAAAGAAAGCGAGGGCAGCAGGGCCGCGAGGGCGGTGGAGGCGATTGTGAACACGCACTCTTCACGCCGGAAGGGTTCCGGAAACGCAGACGGCTGCGCCGGTCATGCACAGCAACGTTCTGGAACGCTCCAAAATCTACAGGTGCTACGGCACAGGTGCCCCCAGGAATTGCCACGCAACAACAGCGTCTTGAGATTCATGAGATTTGATTTGTAATTTCGCAATAGAGAGGATATTGGGTTTAGCCCGACGACAACAGCCATGAAAATGAAATTTCAGCGTGCGTCAGCATCATTGACGAACAGATTTTAATTATCTTGCACAATTGAATACTTTGTACATTAATAGCAGCCTCTTGTTCACTCCAATAAAGTTTTTCATTTCTATGTTTAAATTCCTTTAAGTGGTCAAAGAGATTGTACGTTCAAGACAAAACGAAAAAAATGCTCAAATTTGAAATGCTATAAATGTTCAAATTTATAATGTCAGAAATATCGAATTTCTACAGAATTTAAATTTTGTTGATCAAGTGTAAATTCTCTGCACGGATAATAAATACTTTTTTTAACGTATCGAATGGAGAGTAGAGATTTGGTGTTACGATGGTCAACTTACCTTACCCCGTCAATAAGAAAATACAGTAGTAAACTTTGTGTTCAATTAATTTTCATTACTTAAAATTATTTTTGCACCTATTAATGGACATAGCAGCAAATTCATTATTATTATTATTATTATTATTATTATTATAGTTGTTGTTGTTAATACTATTATTGTATTATTATTTTGCAATTTACAGTTTATGTTGATGCAACTGCAAAGTATTCATGATGACAATGCCAACTCAGTTACAATAATGTGGACTCAATGCTACACCGCAGAAGCAATGTTCCCTGCTTGTTTTCCCTTTTCTTTACTTAAAACTTATCCTTCAAGTACAAACGTTTAACATATTATTATTTCATTGCATTATATAACATTCTAATATAATTTTTATTCTAATTTTCTGAGAGATTTAGTTTTCCAATGGCATTCATCTAAAATACGCCGTCATAATTTCTTTTATATAATTACCCGGCAATATGATCATCCGACAGACATGCGATAAAGCAGTAATTTCCATAAAAGGAACGTTAAAAGAAAAAGATTAGTGAGAATTACAAAACTAGGATTTCTCTTCGAGCAAAAAGAAATAGATGAAAACCATTAAATGGCAGAAAATTCTAAAATGTGATAGTTTTAAATTGAGATTTATTAATAGTCACTTGCTTGCAATAAAATCGATTTTCTTATAATTAAACTTTACGTTTATTACGCTTCATGAATACAAAGCCATTTCCCTATCTAACAGTTGTGAAGCGACACAATTTATAAGAATAAGGTTTAAGTAATTAATCGCTGGGTGTGTGCGCTTTGGGAAACATTTTTTCATTTCATTTAAAGTTCTCTGTTTCATTTCTCCTGATTTTCCATTAATACAAGACAATATAAGGCGAAAATAAAGCGCTCAATTAGATGCACGCATGCAATTAGTTTGCAAAAATGTACCATCTATGTTCCCTTTTCGTCGATATCACTTGTTGTTTATAGATAATATCACTTTATTATTGCCGTATCGATTCTTTACCCAAAGATACCATACAATAAAATGATTTCATATAATGCGCAGGAATATTGTAGAGTATTCGCGCACAAATACGCATAAGAACTCCCCAAAACACAAGCATAAACTTGACTTCAAAACACCAAACACGCCATTCAAACTTGATTTTCCCCGCTTTTAGTCAGAAGTAACTTTTATTTTGAAAACATCACCGAGAGTCCGTTCGAAGTGGCTCTTGACCGAGCGGCCGCCCCGAGCCCCCCGGCACAGCCAGTGGGAGAGCGCGGAAATGGAGGGCGGGAAAACGGCGACGCGGGGAAACGGGACACGGGAAAGCAGGAGAGAGGGGAACCGACGCCGTGCACGTGTCCGCGTCGAGATGACACCTCGACGGCGACGGCGGCGTCGGTGGAGGCGGAGGAAAGTTGGCGGAAACGCGGCCGGCAGTGGCAGCGGGCTCAGTATTGATCCCAGCGGGTTGCCGCGTGCTGTTGGGGGCGGCAGCGGTGGCGGTGGCCACCCCCGCGCGAGCGCGCCCGAGCGATCCTGTGATGCGGCGGTTGGGGCGGGCAAGGGCGAGGGCGGGGCGCGCGGCGGCGGAGCGGCGGATGAGGCGGCAGTGGGGGCGCAGTGGGGGGCGGCGAGTGGAGGCGGTGGTGGGGCGGCGGTGGGGGCGGGGGCGGCGGCGGAAGCGGGCGGGGCCTCGTGGGCGGGGGCAGCGTGGCGATGGAGCAGCGTGGCGACGGGGGCGGCGTGGTGTCGGCGCAGTAAGCAGCGTCGCGTGCAGTCGGGCACGCGCGTTATGTCACGCGCCGGCTTGCTAACCCTGCCGTGTTGCAATCACGCGTGCGATCAGACCGGCCATTAGCATGCTTTATACACGACCCCGCACCGACCGCATTAAATATTTAACTGACAGAATTGATTTACAAAGATGGATAGGGCCCCATGCCCTACGGGCGAAGGCGACGCCGGCACCCGACCAGATGGGCACGACCGCACTGCCCGCCGCCGCCGCCGCCGCCGCCTGACTCAGCACAGGTGGACGGGCTGCGGTCTCGCGACGTAGCGGAGTAGGCCACGTCGCGACGCCAGGCGTCCCCAAGCTTTGACGCGGCGATTTCACCGACCTCGCCGTGCCCCGCGCGACTCGTCGGACAGGAAGTTGACCTCGGGCCATGGCGCCTCCGTGGCCGGGTTTCGGGCGGGTTTGGTCTCCCATCACCAGGAGATGGCTGCGCGCCGGGCAGTTGAGATGGGATGAGATGGGACGGAATGATTCACTGTGTGCGAAAAATGAACGCGCTATAGAGAACACTGACACCTGCTACACGTAAGCTAAACAGAGAAAATAGTAATCATTACTTATTTTACAACATTTTTAACAGCATACACACTAGAATGTTTTTGGGATTTCGAAAAAATATTAACAAACTATACCATTAAAACTGTAAAGAAAATTAAACGAAAATGTAAGTTTATCTCGCACAAATTTTAAGTGCACCATTTGATTACATTTCTACAATATTTCGGTAGAATACATGAAATCGATATGAAAAATGTATGAAATTTTCTTAGAGACGTTATAATGTAGTTATAATTTCATAATTGTTGTGGGAACATTCTTTTGAGTTAAGGTTAAACAAAGAGAAACTAGTGTACATGTTAATGCATTCTCTTCTTACTTGAATGTAAGGATTATATATTTTCTAGATCCTTGTAAAAACACATCGCATTAAAGTAAACGCACAAAAATAGTGAAAAAATTACATAATTTATTATTACTAATGTTCTTGAATATGGTCCTCTTACGCTCACAGGTAAGAAATGTTTTACCATAAATCAGTACAAATCATTATTTCGCTCCCATACAGCCACGCGAGTGACCAACAGAATGATTTGATCCAAACATTTACGTTTATGAAAAAAGTTAGTATTACATACAATATAGAGTTCATTCACGCTCGAAATATTCAAGTATGAGTGTAGATTTTAGCTTCATTACTACAAAATATAACATCAAAGGTTTGGTAAATTGTAAAACATTATTCGTAAGCATTCATGATGTATAGAACAAACATATTTATGAAAGTATCCTTGGAGTCGGAATGGAATCGAATGTACACGGCCGTTTGTATCGATTTGTGATTTTTTTTTACATCGGACACGATTTTTCGGCTCCTGTGAATACTTGGGCCAATAAGACTTTTTTGCTTTTTCTTTTGCTAGTTCACTGTGTGCGAAAAATGAACGCGCTATAGAGAACACTGACAGCTGGTAAATAAATAGCAAGAATTCTAATCTACTGCAAAAGCAATATTTAAAAAAAAAGTTATTTTTGCCGATAAAAAAATTAATAGTTTTTTCGAGAATTTCACTTAATAGTTTAAAAAGTCGAATCATAAAGGTGCAGTATAATAAAACCACGTCACAGTACTATAAGGGTATGCAAGCGCATTTTCTAAAAATTAGGTATTATTTGTAGTATGTTATGATGGCACGGTATGTAATGAGATAAACACATTCATGTTTATGCAGTTTGCCAAATTTAAAAGTGTTTTTTAAGGGAGACATAGGCGGCGGTCGTTTTGGCTGAAATTTCTATCGGCTCAAGTGGGACGGACAAAACTAAACGAAAAGATGTTCGTCCGACAGCCGATGGTGGCGGACACCATCAGAAAACGCAGTTCGAGTTCACTATGACCATTTCCGTTTACCATAACGTGTTTGAACGAATCCGTCACTTCGGACAAAAACGTCCGACGACGGCCGACCGAAATGTCGGCTCCTCTGGGAGCGCCGCTTTACCACGACTGCAACATTCGGGTTGCGGAATACAGCGATGGAGCCCCAACTCAGAAATGACATCTTCTTTGCACGCTGGGTCTGCATTTCTTAAGGTGCGGCCTACTGACGTGCTTAAGGGTGAGCCGCGCGGAGGCCGGTGCGGCCGGATGTGCCATTAAACGGAAGCGCGCGGTGCCGGCTGGCGGCCGAGCGGATCGCGGCCGGGGATCTGGCACGCAGCGTATGTGGGTCCCCGCTCGTCGAGTCGCAGCGTTGCCACCGGGCGACCGGCTTAGGTGGCTCAGGGCACCAATTGATGTCACTGCAGTGCCTCTGACAGGGAGTTTCAAGGGATTGAGTCACGACGCTGGCCGGATTATCCACACAACCTTCTCACCCATACGTCACATACAGTTTTTACTGTTTTTTTTTTACTAAATAAATCTAAAGCTAGATAGTAAGTGGTTTTCCGTGGTTTCCCCGATCGACACCAGGCGAGTGCCGGAGCAGTGTCCTAACTAACGGGCCACAGACCGTGCGCAATCTTTCCTTCCACTTCAGTGTCCTTTCGTTACCCCTTACTTACACTCATACGCTCTGCATTAACACGCATATCCGACACCAATCGCAAGCTTAGAACTTCTTTCGACTGGGGATGTAAAATAAAGCATACGTGCGAGTAAGAAAGAAGAAAAAATTAAAAAAGTATCTTCGATGAAAAGGTTAAATATGTTTTTTTGTATATTCCTTTCCTTATAAATGTTTTTATTTATTTACTTATCCATTTATTTACTTATTAATTTATTTACTTATTAATTTATTTACTTATTCATTTATTTACTTATTCATTTATTTACTTATTCATTTATTTACTTATTCATTTATTTACTTGTTCATTTATTTATTTACCTATTTATTTTTTACTTATTTATTTATTTGGGTTTAACAGCACTTCAACTGAAGTGGTCATGATGCCCATGAGTGATGATCTATTAGGAAGATGTTAGAAAGATTGATGATGAGGGGCATGATGCTGAAGCAATAGCGGAATGACTGGAATGGGAAACGGAAATATCGTGAGAAAACTAGCCTGGAGCTCAGTTTGTCCAGTACAAATGCCATTTGAATTGGCCGGGAATCGAATTCGTGCCCCAGCTGTGGATGGCGTAGAGGAATCATGAGAACAGAAAGGAAAACGATAACAACGAAGCACGAAAGTGAGCACGAAAATGGAAAAAGATAGAAATGTGTGAGAGCAGGGAAGAGCAGTGAGATGATAAAATAGAAACATTGATAAGAGTGACCAAAAATATATAAGAACTGTTATTGTGTCACCTTAGGCTAGGCAACTAGAAAGAGGGGGAGAAAGAGAGATTAGCATAACAAAGGACATTAATAAATCTAAAGAAATTATAGCACACTTTTGATGTTTAATAAAGATGAGATCGACATCTTGAGTGATAAGTATCTTTTAAGAAATGAAATAAAATACTATCGCGTTTGTGAAAATAAATAGAGAATATGAGACTAAATTATTGTAGATTCATTCAACTTGCTACAAATAACGCAATTATACCAACTGATAATTTATTATTATTATTATTATTATTATTATTATTATTATTATTATTATTATTATTATTATCATTATCATTATCATTATTATTACTATTATTATTTTCACAATGTTAGTCATCACGTTGGCCATCACGAGTTCTGTTCTTCATAACACGAGATAAACGAAATCACAATATGGTTGGTTGTAATCGATACACGCTACTCGCTAAAACTCGAATTACACACAGCGTTGCGCAAGCGTATTCGGAAAACACTCGGTTCGACTACCCCAGCGTGTCTAATTCGTATTGTGACCGTGTAAACAAAGGGAAAAGAGAAGTCCATTGAGAGGCGTTAAGGGAAATTTCACCTCAATACACTTTCCGGCCTATTATTACATTTCACTTTACTATTTGTTTCCATCCTTTCAGCACCTCGAGTAATTAACTCTTACGAATAACATGGTGTACTGTAAATTTAAATAGATAGCGTTCATACACAAGTGTAAATCCAAATGCACAACTGCTTACAAAAAGGAAGAAAAATATGCGTACCTGGTAAACATTCACCTTCTTGAAATATGATACGTTGAGACAATTTTAGATAATATTGCCCAGCCTGAAGGAAATTCAGGAAGGAACTAAAAGAAGGCACATTATAATGACGAAACAAAGTAGTTTAAAGCTAGAAACCGAATATTTGCTGTCCACCCATGTTGTTTATACGGTCGATAACATCTTCAAAGGTATTTTAAAAGAAAAGAAAACTCAAATATCAGCAGAATTATTTTATTTGGAAAATAGTTTCGCGAACAAAAATGTAATTTCTGAGAAATACGTTTCCTTTTCAAACGAAGATGACGACGCGATGGAAATTAAGAGTAAGCTCCCCTGAATTGGAATTAGTGAGGTGATGAATTTTCAGTGGCCCTGCAAACGGAGGAGTGAGATCGTTGTTAAATTGTATATTAATGTTTGAATTTCAATTCAAATTAATGCAAAGTTACAGCCGAGACGATCAAACTGGCTCCAACTAGTGAAGTAAAAAATCTAAATCTTGTTGAGTAACTTCCATAATAACTTCCTTCCGCAAAGAGGTACGAAGCGGCGACAGAATCCATTGACTTTATCGAACTCTAATGACGAAAGAAGTAGACTGAATAACCAATAAACTCGATCGGAATAAGCACACATATTCCGTTCGGGCCCGCGCGGGATCGTCTCTCCCTTGCAAACCCTAAAAATCTTCCCTTGCTCCAAGAAACAATGCAATTCGTAACTTGCTATAGGAAAGGGAAATATTTTACAAAATAAAAAAGAACTAAATCGCAAAAATAAGTCTTCATAGTGGCAAGAATATTGTATCCACTACGACATCTGCTTATATATTTTTTTATTTATACATACCAGACCGATGGAATGTTTTCAATTTACAGGAGTAAGAACGAAATACTACTGGTATTAGACAATTACGTACGCAAGTTGTATGCCCACAAGTAGATACTGCCGTAAAAAAGCGAAAATAACGGTAATAGAAAACTAAATTGTAAGAAAATAATTACTTTTTAGAAATTGTCATGATGCATTAGCTTGTAGTTAGAAGCCTAAATAAGTTATTCCCTTTTCTTAATATCTGTTTATTCTGCTTAGCATCTTTAAATCCTTGTGCTGAAGATAGAACGTTTACCCAAAGGGACTAAAGAGTTTTTTTAAAATTTCCGTGATGTACACATTTATTTACTCCTTTATACTTTTTGCAACGCAATTAAAAAGAATAAATTAAGATATTTGACCGTATTTGTAACACTGTTGCAACTGCAATTTTTGAGATTGATAAACTGATGGCTTGCTGGAATTTCTTTGCACAATTTCAATCACAGCCATGTCAATAAAATTACTATAAATGCTAAAAATAAATTGTTCAAATTAGTTTACATTTTAGTTTTTTAGATGTTGAAAGAAATTGTCTTAAACTATAAAAAGGCGCTAGGCTTTCATAGTTGGTAATATGGCTTTCTGATATATCGCAATGTATCTCGATTACGAGGTTTATGTTGCCAATTTCGCCTTCCTGCATAAATTTACAGAACTTTAAACATTAATTT